AGCAACATTACGTAATATGTCGTATTGGTCATACAATGGCCATAACTATTAGGAAAAATATTTAGGGCTGTTGAGATAGCTTAGAGGGTGAAGGTGCCTGCTGCCAAGTAAGATGACCTATTTGATCTCCCGACCCATGTAGGAGAACCTTAACTGTGAGCTACAGCTGCTCACACATATGCACACCTGTTATCATCATAACAAAAGAACAATCTAGGAGGATCTGGCCTTCTGTTGTGTTATTACATTAAAATTGTAATCCTTGCTCATGGTGAAAAATACAAATTGTGAATTTAATACAAAACATAACCATCAATAAACTGCATAAGGTTTGGATCTATCAAAATTTTAATGCATTTCATCATTGGACAATTTGTTATATACACAGGCATTGCGTAATATAGTTCCTTACACTTTAAAACAATATTTACAATAAACAAGTCCCAAGTCTGTAAAATAATTTAAGATCATCTTAATATTCATATAATTTTCATCCTACAGGCATGCTACCATTTCATGCTATGCATATTTTTTTATATTTTTCTTACTATGTATAATTCTGTAATAAAGCCTATGCACAAAGCATTTTGCCTTTGCTTGTTGGTTTAGATAAGATTTTAGGTAAGATTTTTACATGAAATTACCAGGTCATATAAATTACTGATGTTTAAGACTCTAAAGTCCTTCCTCAAAGGGTGGTAATAGTTTAAAGATGGCATGAGAGTTTCATGTTGAGAGAACACTTGGAAATATCATTAAAGATGGTATGTAGCCTGTTTAAAAACAGAACTTTTATGCAGTGGCATCTCAGTATTACCCATGTCTTAATGAATATTTGTTTTTGGCCTCCTCTCCTCATTTATTCATTTATTTTTTTGCATTCACTTTTTAAAATGGCTTCTTAATGCTTAAAAAGTAGCTTGTATAAACTCTTTGTGGGGTAAAAATCCTTATTTCTCATATTTGTTGGAATTGTCCTTCTGAATTTATTTTCTTTGACATTATAATTATGTACATACAAAAGTGGTTTTACATTTGCATGTAGTACGTTTCTGTGAGTAGTTCTTTTCATCATTATTTTCCCATTGAGTGTGTACTTGGTTTCGGTGCTTTCTCAGGATCAGACAGTGATCTGTTGCTGAGATCAAGAAACCCTAAATCAGTTTTCAGAGCTTGTGATGATACAAAGTGACAGTTTAAACATCCCTCTCTCCAAGCATCCTCTACATCTAACATGGCCTGATTAATCATTAATAAATTAATATTAATCATTAATAGTTGACATGTTCTTTCCCACATATGCATTCTTGTATGTGCCTGCATGTGTTCATGTGTAGTTGTGCTGTGGCAGTCAGGGGACAGCCTCAGATTGTCTGCCTCCGATGTCATCCTCCTTGCTTTTGAGGCAGGGTCTCTCACTAGGGTCAGAACTCACTGATTCGATTAGGCTGCCCTGACAGTGAGCCCCTTATTTCTGCCTCCCCAGTACCCCTCGCTTTTTTACTTAGGTTCTGGGGCTACAGCCTGGCCATCCCTCTTGCACAGCAAGTACCTTACTGACTGAGCTATC